AAAAATAGGCATGATATGGGGAAGTGTGTGTTATAGAAGAGAGAAGACTATGTATGTCTAAACTTCTACTAAAATAAAAAAAAGAATTATGTAATATTTGAAAAAAGAAGGGAAAATTAGAGAATACTAAACTTATAGTTGTGTATTTAAGTTATTTTTCCAAAATAAAAGACGTAAGTTGGTTCTATAATTTAGTCGATACATCACTCGATAATTCAATATCAAATCAATCGGTATATTACTGGTTAACTAATTGATTAATACATTTGAAAAATCGATATTTAATAAGTTGATTGATTAACTGTAATTATTTATCTGATTTGTCCGATGAATAATTTTGATTCTATACATCTCTACAATCTTGTGGATATCATATATCCCGGATTCACCTAAATAACAATTTTTTTAAAACATAAACATAGCATAAATTAAATTAACAAATTTTACATAGGCTTTGTTTAATCACTTTATTATAGTTATATTTAATCTGGATAAATATTCAGATCTCCGTAATCTCATATATATTTACATTGCAATGTCTAAAGACAAAAGTTTTAAAAATTAACATAAAATTATATTTATTAAATAAGTAATTAACAATTCTAAGTCCTAATCCTAAAAAAAGCTCTCTTTCATATACCAAACTTGTATCAAGATCGATAAATTAATAACAAAATATATCATATATATAATCAAGACATAATACATAAATATGTAGTTTAACATGGTTTCAAATTATATTTATATCTTTCAACTTTGAATGTGCACAAGTAAATACTTAAACTTGTATAAAATTAAACAAATAGACGCATATATACATGTCATTATTTGTCCTACGTGTATTGTACCATGTATAATTCGTGTGTTCATATGTTCTATATACAAGTTTAAGTGTCTACTTGTATATATCTAAAGTTGGAGGACATAAACATAAATAAGGCCAGATTAAAAAGCACGTTTATGTTATAATCAAAATTGTAGTAAAATCAACAAGCCAAACACGAATATTCTTTACAAAATTAGTATCATTAATTATTGAAAATATTGAATTAAGACAATTTAATTGTGGAAACTTAATTAGCAATATATTTGTCTGGTATACACTTATACAACTTCAGTTTGTTTTCTTTTAAACCCTGAGATCTCGAATTAAAATTTACAGAAATAAAAAATATTAAATAAAATAAAATAATGAATTTCGAATATTAAATAGTCCATCCCGCTTGAAATTGCTAGCCAATAATCTGTTGGCTATGCAATACTAGTGCTTTTATAGCTTTCATAGTCCCAAAATGCCTCCTTTTTTTTCTTTTACCGTTCAATATTTGTAATTCACTAGCTCTTTTATTTTTTAAAATATTAATTTGAAATCTCACGTTTTCAACAAAATTGGCTCTTTATAGAAAAAACCCTCTCAAAAATTCAAGAAAATTGAAAAACTTGAGGTTGAAAATTCTGACTATAATTTCGTTGATTTAATTTATAAATTTTAAAATTTAACATAAATAATATAATTTAATATTTAAAAATTTTAAAATCAACTCGATCCATATATATTGACCAACCAACAGATTATGTCATTAATCTGTGTGCAAGAATTCAAAATACACACACTTTTATTAGTCTTGTTGACTCCTACGATAACATGTACTTGACAAAACTAGCAACTCTAAATTGGTAGTCTTCCAATACTTGACAAAAAGCATATTGTATAAATAGAATTTCTGCTACAAATTATTTATATTCATTAATTGTGTTTCAATAGCAGCAACAAATTCATACCACAAAAATGAGTGTAGAAGTTCTTGATGGCGCCACAATCCTTAGCTTCGTGGAAGACGAAGAAGCGTTCAGTGAATTTATCGTCGAACGCTTCAACAATCTCGATAAAGATCATGATGGCATACTTTCTTATTCAGAAATGTTGAAAGAGTTGCAGGTAAGGGCATATCCAAGCCATATAGTTTAAAGATTACTTTTTAATGAATATATAATTTCAAAGATTAAAGGTAGGTAAGAATAATAAGGTCAGTGTACACGTCATCTTCTAGAGAATTCACGTTTCAAATTACAATAACATCATGTTTTTTATATTCAATTTCTCTAACTAAATTTTGAATATTATTCTTAATAAAATTCTTGATTTCACCACTGGTTGCAGGGGTTAAGGGTTTTCGATACACATTTTGGTATCGACGTGAAAATCGATCCAAACGAGATTTCTCGAGTTTATAGTTCAATTTTCGTTCAGTTCGATCACGACTCGAACGGGACGGTGGATTTAAAAGAATTTAAACAAGAGATGAAGGAGATGATGGTGGCTATGGCTAATGGTTTAGGGTTCTTGCCAATTCAAATGGTACTTGAAGAAAATAGTTTCTTGAAGAAAGCTATTGATAGGGAATTAAAATATTACTCTATATAATAAGAATGGTTAAATATCTTGTATTTTGTCGTATCAATTTACTACACATGGTTTATACATGCAATATCATTAAAATTATGAGTTGTAATATTTTGAAATAAATTTGATGTATTATGATTTATTATTATACTTTATAAATATAGATTTTGTTTCGTATATTTCTATGTAAAAGTCCCAAAATAAGAAATGATTATTTATAATTTCCTCTGATTTAAAATTTTACTGATATTTTTTTTAAAAAAAAGTTAGATTTCATACTTATTATCTTAAAAGTATCTATATATATCACACCGTGATAGATCATTTTTCTTACCAATTATTATTACACCGTTCTTTATCATAGAATTCAAACTTCTAGATAAACCGGACGGCTTCTACGAAGAAGGCGGCGCATAAGAGGCTCGACGGCTTGTTAAGGAAGGCGGCAAGGGTCGACTAAGGGTGGAAAACGAAAAGCGTTTTTTGGTCCCCTGAGCCGGAGGGTGCTTGTGTGTGTGGGTGAAAGGGGGGGGGGGTGCCACGATGAAACAAGGGAATGAAAGGCCGCTATGCGTTGGATGCTCTTTAACCTCCCCATGACTCCGTTGTCTTGAGGAGCGTTGAAGCTTGCTTCTTCGGAAGACTTTTCTTAAGTCACACACACAAAAAATGGCAAAATATTTGCGTCTGCCGGGAGTCGAACCCGGGTCTATTGCTTGGAAGGCAATTATCCTAACCGTTGGACTACAAACGCTTTGATGACAGAATTATATTAAGAAAGTTAATATACAAACATGAAACAAAACAAGAGTTGTGATTCTCACATAGTATACTTTTTAAATGAATTGAACTAATAAATGAACGGATTAATAATCAACCTATGAGAGATATTGGGATAAGAGTGCAAAGACTTGTCATCTGTACATTTCAAATTGGTAGCAGGTTTACGATACAGATAGTTAACTTGAAAAATTTAATTACAAAGCTCGAGGAACCCAAATGTATTTTCACCGCTATATGTCATATAAAGGAATCCGTCTTCATCCTTGTTTTCCTCGTAAATTGCAGACATCAGAGCAGCTGCAACAGGAAGATATGTCAAAGACAAATGTCTCGGAATAGTATCGAGACCTTATGTTATAATCTACTTCACTTACCAGTTGGAGGCAGAATGTTTTTGACAAAGACATATATGGCCTTTTCTGCACTGAGATTGATCCTCTTTCGGACAACGTAAACAAATTGGCCAACAGTCAAGTCAGCTGGGACGAGATACCTATGTCACGAACGTAACAGAAATAAATAATGGTCCTGTCGGATCTACTTATACATAGGAATGAACAATCGGCAACAATCAAGTAGTATGAGACTAATTCTGTTAACATATTGAAGTTTATTGCGCAACAAGTAGCATGACACTCGAGCAGCAGCCTGTGTTTAATTGCGAAAGGAAGAAACACATGAGGTACTGAAGAAAAGAAGCAACTTACTTCTTCTTATCAATGTCGGAGATATCACTCTTTTCTGCTCTCTCAACAATCACCTGAATGGGAAACATAGCCACGAGAAATAAGGGTACTGAAGTATCAATGAAGTGCAAGACCTTTTTAACACCAGATATCATACCGGAATTCTGTCAGGATACTTCTCCCTGATGCGAGAAGATTCCGCCTGTCTCCTCTCTATTTAAAAAGGACAAACATTGATAACATCAGCATAATTACATACATCCTTTTTGTCTCATTCCCCGGCTTTTCTTAACCAGGAAGTTATCAGCTCAAGTAAATAAGGATATGCTCGAAAGAAAAAGAAAAGAACAGGCAACACATCTGATATCTTGAAGGCTGAAGCTATATGGAAAGAAAAGCATCAAAAACCATCACTTCCTATACTAGTCGGCAATCCCAAATCAGAATATCAAACAATCAACTAAATATCAACCGCAAAATCAGTTGGGGTCAGCTATTCCACTCAATTCATTCCCATACTAAATATTGCCTTCTAAGGCAAATAAGAATTTTTCTAATGAAACTTATCTCGACTAGTTGGTGTTGTCGATTTGAATAAGCTGTGTTTTAACTAAAAGCTGCAATTATTCCCTGATACTTCAGTGATGAATTTATGCACCTGATATATTCGTAGATTCAGGAAGACTAATAACAGAATATATATAGACCATCAGACCATGAAAGGATATAGATCAAAACTTCAATGATATCTGGTTGTTGCTTTACCAAATATTTACCTTTCGTCAATTAACTTGCTCTCAAAGAGGCATCTAGAAATATTCAAATATATACAATGTAACAAGGAGGTTACAAAGCATAAACATCACTAAACTACCCACATCCTGGCACCTGCCAACCTAAGCTGATGTAGCATTTGGATGGTGGGTATAGCTGCACCAACAGCGTGTGCAAGCAAACTAACTGTGAAGCCACTTACAGAGGATGGGTCAAGCAGGACTGGCCGAAGATGAGATGTGCATGACATGACTTAGGCAAATCCCACATCAAAATGGGAGAGGAAAGTGGAGAGCTTTATAAAGCATAGCTCAAGTTCACATAGTACATGCATAATTAGGGTCGGATGTGCATATCCCGAAAGACAAATCCGTTTGGGCCTAGGTCCAAAGTGGACAATACGTGCTATGGATTTGAATCATGAAAATATGGTATGAGAGGGGAAAACCTTAGAGCTAGAACTGCTTAGGGCGTATTTGATGCCCTTGACAGAAGGCAAGCTAATGAGAACTTCTAAAGATAAGGTGCATATGACATCTTAGACGACTCCCAGTAAGAGGAAATTGAAGAGTTTTATACGACATAGCTCAAGTTCACACAGTAAGTGCTTTTATGGCCCTTCTGTAAAGACAAATCCTTGTTAGCCTAGGCCCAAAGCGAACAATACATTAACACACACATGTATGTCTACAAATAGCACACCTACGTAGACACTATTAGCTGCTATAGCACAACTTTTCTTCAACCAAGCCCTACAATTTTATATAGGAAACTAGTATTATCATACAAATTAAATTAATTGATCAATACTCAATAATTATCCTCATTATGTATATGTATACACATATAATCCCCCCACCCACCTACTCACCCACACTAAGTCTGCACACATTTACTCTACAACAACAACATACCCCGTCAAATCCCACTAAGGCAGACCTTACCACTACCTCGTGGAGGTAAGAGAGACAGTTTCCCAAAGACCCTCTACCTTATCATCTCTGTCTACCAATAATTCAATTTAAAGATAATCAAATCATGTCCAACAAAGAAAAGTTAAAAGAAAACATACCCAAAGGATGTTCAACCTTGAAAGAACTCTTAGCCATTGAAAGACTCAAACTTTTATCTCTTACTGCAAATTTCAAACATCTAAAGAACATCAGAATCACATAAATATACACTTATAAACGCAATTCAAGCAAAAGGGTATCTCTAAATTTACTCAAAAATGCAAGAAAACCACAAAAAAAATTAACTTTAATATATGAATCTTTTCTACACATCAAAATCAAGAATCATAATTATAAACAAAATTTTTACCAGAATTCAACAGAGAACAAATTGTTTTTTTTTTCTGATTTCTGAATCGTACACGAAACTTAATGATTTTTGTTGAAATTCACAAGAAAACTCTATGAATTATTGCGAATTATTTATGTAATTATTCAAATTTATATGTTTGGATCCGGTAATAAAACGACATCGTGGAGTAACTTAAAAGGAACAAACGGCTGCGTTTTGTTTGCGTGGTTGTGGCAGTTTGCGTATATAATGGGACTTGCCATTTATATTTAGAATTTGATTAAGGAAAGAATCTATTTTAATGAATTGTTTAGTCAATTAAATTACAAAATTATTAAGTCTTTTTCTTTTTTAAAAAATAAATTAATATGCTATAAATTTAACCATTCGAATATCCTAAACTCACTAATAGTAGTAGAAGGTGATATCTTGCCTTGCTATTAAGGAAAATTTAAAAAAAAATAAAAAATGATGCACAACGCATTATATATTTATGCAAATTAATAAAATTTTATACCGTAATTAAATGTGATGAAAATAGCCTACTCTGATTTGAACTCACACTAATAAAACTGACTACTTGTCTTGCTAATAAGAATAATTATAAAAAGATTAACTTGATGCACAAAGCATTTCACATTCACGTAAAGTTTAAAAAAGAACTACATTTCCTCATTTATACATCTTGATGCGCCTACAACTTATTAATTCCATAATTTAAACCTAATATATCTATGTTACTACTTAAAAATAATTTCATAATTTTACCATTGTTGAAAACTTTTTTAAGCTGATAAGGAAGATCATAATGCAACTGAGAAATGACATTTTGACACATGATGAAGATGGATCGTCTTATGTTATTGGTTGAATGCTACCAAAATTATCATAGTATCATATATTATTAATAAATATTATTAATAATTATTATTAAATTATTAAAAATGGAAAGCTCTTAACCTTAAAGTATAATTACCATTTTGTCTTTTTACTTATCCTAATTTTAAAGTTTGATTATTGTTTTACCCTTCTACTTATTTTAAATGATTAAATATCTAATTAAATAATAATAATTTAATTACGTAATTACATGATTTGAATTTCATGAATTATACTTTAATTCTTTAATTATGACATTACAAATTTCTTTTGTTTTCTACTTCTTTTTAGCTTCCATACCTTTAAAAAAAAATTCATATCTTTTTATCTTGTATTAAACCAATAGCTTTAGCCTTTGGTCCATTGTCAATTTATTTTAATGTTTTATTTTTTAAAAATGCTCAAAATTTGGTGTATGCACAACACTCTCTAGATAAAGATATAATATTTTTGTATTAATTTCTTCAATTAACTTTCCTTTAATAAGTTGTGTATCTGCTCAGTTTTTTTATTTTTTTACTTTAAGAAATTTATACTAATTAACATAGTATACACGACATGTAATGCATGTGTTTGAAAATTAATTTACTATAATGATAATGATTTTATTCCAAGAAATCAATCTTTATTAAAATGACATTCCACAATTTGCTAACACCTCCTCGCATAGAAAAGAACAATTTGACTTCTAGCAACCCTTCTTGCAATATACATTCATGAGCTATTTGTTGTTATGAATTATCTCTCCGTCCATAAGTTAATTCTCACGAAATTTTAAGATTAAACATAAAAAAAAAATTTGATTTATTGAATAAGTCTCTAAGTTTTATGTTTTGTTGGTGTAAAAATATTTATATAATTAGGCTATGTTGCTCGGACTCTTCAAAATGTCATTGAGTGTGTGTTGAATCCTTAAAAAATAGTCATTTTCTGCATAATTCAACACGTGAAGTTCAAACAGCATAGCTTGGTTGTATGTACATTTTTTACATCGATGATAGCTAGCACTTAAGAATCATTCAAGAAATCAACTTTTTCCCTACAATATCACGATTGTGTGTCGAATCATCCAAAAAAGTATTTAATTTCTTGAGGATCCCAACACAAATGTAACAACAACATAACAAATCAAGTGATATTAACATATAAATCACTATAACATACATTAATTGATAACCTTACAAAAAAAAATTATTATTACTAACCTGATAGTATAAAAAATATTTTCGCAATTACTATTTGAGTATACTAAGAACCAACTAGCCAATTTTCTCAAATATTTATAGGTCTAGTTGGGTTTTCTTGGAAATCATCAAAACACAAAAATCTTCACTTATGGACAAATAGCTCTTAATTAAGAAGAAGAACATGTTTTATCCTTTTTCTAAAAATTGGTACATTGAATTGAATAACATATTCCACTCAAAATTTCAAAAAAATAATAAAAATACACAGACTTCAAATGCTTATATTATAAGGAAAAAAATGAAAAAAACAGAGAGATAATTCATAACAATAATAAACATAGTCAGTGTAATTTCAGAGCTGAGATCTGATAATATGATGTATACCATGCAGTCGTAACTTCTATTTAGTAAAATTAGAAATATTGGTTATGATAATCAACTGCTTATATAATAACAATAAATAATGCAATAATTGAAGTAAAGAAATTTATACTAATTAACATATCCACTATCTAGAGTAATTAAAGGCGCACTTAAGCCCTAAAGTGAGGCACAAAATATATTGAGCACTTCACCTCTCTTCACGTGCCCTTCAATATCATCATCAAGGCTATAAGACGTACTTTTTCTTACCAAATGAAAAGGTGACACTAAACCATTGATATTTCACTTTATCTGTCCTTCTTCTAATTTCTTTGTCTATATGTTTGTTATTTTTAAATTATGATCTTAGCCTTAGACTATATACGCTAAACATGTTTGTCTATATGTTTGTTATTTGTCCGTATTTTTGCGTTTTTCGCCTTTTCTACTTCGATATCTGCTGTTGCTGTTATGTTTGAAACTATGCTGCTAATTTTCTTTTGTTATGCAAGTACCAACAAGTAGAAAATTTCTGAATTCGTATAATTGTCATCATTCAAGTTAGTAAGCTAATTTTACTGCCCCCAACAATGTTATTTACTCACATAGGGGCTACCATAACTGTTCTTGCAAGTAACAACATGCCTAATCTTATTCCTGTTTACTTCTGTCTTGAATCTGTACTGCTTGAACTACTGTTTGACTCCCTTTTAGCCTCATCTAATGCTCCATTTTGCTTCTCATCAGTCCCTAAAGTTAGTGGTATGAAAGGATTATAGTAAGAAGAATATGGATGTAATGTAATACAGCTTCCAGGTGCAATATATCCATAAGAAGAGGGGTAAGGGAATGGAGCGATCGCATTAGGTTGAGGCCAATATACAAAAGGCATGACAGAGTTTGGTGGATACATTGGGAAAACAGGATAAGAACATTGGTTATGGTAGTGAATATTGGCTGCAGTATTAGCCATTTCAGGTTTTCGCGTATCTGCTGGTGCTTGAGTTGATGGTATTGGTATAGTCATCTGACTTGGAGACGAGGCGTAGCCCATTAGTCCAAATGGTTCAGGAGGTGGGGCAGAACATGAAGGTTTAGAATGTATAGTTGTAGCTTTTTCTGATGTTTTGGTCTTAGAGATTGCTTCTCTCTTGACTTTCGATGACTTCGTTGATGCTTTTTTCCCTTGCTCTGAAGTGGGACTAATATTCTGGAACAACATGAACAATTGCATCAAAAAAGACCTTTTTAACAGGAATAAAAAGGTATTTAAGTCTAAAATGTGAAAGCTGAACTCAAAATTGAGGGTGAGGTTTTCACATGATGATTAACTTTAAAGTCACAAACAATGAATACCTTGCCTAGCATAACTTATACTCCCTCCGTTTCAATTTAAATGTCTTTAGTTTGACTAAGGTACAGAGTTTATGAAAATAAATGAGACTTTTGAATCTTGTAGTTACATTAAGAGAGTGTGTAAATGTGTCAAAATCTTCTTTGAATCTTGTGGTCTTAAACATGTCGTTCAAAATGTTGGAATGAAAAAGTTACCAAATACAGAAAGAGGTGTTCTTTTTAAAACGGAATAAAAGTTAAGACACTTATATTGAAACGGAAGTAGTATTCATGAGAACATTTAGGCAGGAATTATTATTAGTGACTTGATCTTGATGTAACTGAGTTTTACTTTGCATCAGAGTTGCCACTAATTTTGGAGAAAATGATTATGAGTTGCAGATCTTACAATAGCATCAGTCTCGGTATGTGATAGAAATAACTCCTCCTTTTCTGCATCCTCATCTGTCCTGCAAATATGGATATGATTTGACAATAAGAAGAATCATTCGAGCCCAACAAAATCGAAAAATTGCCCAGCAGAATGTCTGTGAACAAGGTAAAAGGGCAGCCAGGTGCATGAAGCATCCTCGTTCATGAAGGGTCCGAGTAAGGGCCATACCCAAGGGGATGTGATGGTGGCATCTTACATTGAATCAAGCATCAGTCGCTGATTCTACAGATCGAACATGTGACCTCGACAAACTTTACATTGCTCCAAGGCTCGAAAAGGTTTTCTTTTTCTTTACATTTGCTTCCTTTGATCAATTCGGAGTTGTTTTTGTGATACCAAATCATTTATAGGCATTCTGATAACTTGTAAAAATGTACTCCCTCCATCCCGACCGATTTATGTGTGTTTCTTTCAAAAAGAATGTTTTTATATATTTTGTATGTTTTGAATTCCAACATTCCCATTTTACGATTACGACCCTCTCTTATTGGAGTGTGCATGACATGTTCAAGACTACAAGATACAAAGGGTATTTTTGGTATGTTATACGCACCTTTAGCTTAACACCACAAGATTCAAAATCCTTGTTTACATTCTTAAACGTCATATCAAGTCAAACTAACATAACGAAATGAAACGGAGGGAGTATGTACTCATTTTCCGCGATGCACTATAGGCTACTTGATAAGTACACAAGACAAACATGCTATGCAGAATACCTGTAATACTTCTGTAAGAGGTCCAAGTTCTTATATTTGGTTTCTCTTTGAACCAGGTCATTAGGAAAGCCAGCCATGAAGAGAAGTGTAATTCCTAAGGCCTTAAAGAAGAAGCTTCCGCTGCGAATATGGATCAGCATAGCCATCCGACATATCACCGGACCAAAAGATTTCAGTTTGTTTCTTCCCATTCGCTGCCGGACATATCTGGTATGACAATGCATCAATTTACAGACTAGTAAAATCTCATCTATGAGAAAAAAAATGCCTAATTAATTTCATGTTTGTGCCTTCAGACAAGATTTTGATATATATAGACACAACTAAAAACTCAATTTTGTTGTAATGTTAACTAGATCATTCAAGTTATATACATTACAATGTAAAGGATTTTTACACTATCACTGCATTTTTTAGTTTGTCATATCAGATTCTATATGTAGAGTTACCTATAGGTCAACTGAACCTACATAACACAAAAAAGTCCCTTACATGGTCAGTACATGAAACATGAAGTTAATATTATTGCAACGAGATGTATATTAATTCTATAGTTTTAAGCAGTCTTACTCATTTTGAGGAAGATTTCTTGTCCTTCCTCCATACTTGATGCATAGGAATAAGCATGACGGGCAGGTGGCATCCGAGGGACGCATAGACTTCTCCTCTTCAAGTATTTTAACAGGACACAAGGTTGGGTTGTGTCTGTTGGGATAGAATATCTTCCTCCGAAATCCAGGGTTGTCGTATAATACATGCTCCTGGTACAGAACATATCAAGTCAATTGAAATTTGAACCACTTGTAAGTATAAGAAAGTGATACGCCAAAAGTTTTTAGACATTCATGTTTAATAAAATAACTAAATGTATAATATGTGTATAACCATGTATAATATATGTGTATAATCTATGTATACGGTCTAGAGTTAGTAAACAGTGAAGCGACATATAATTGAAGTTTAGTGGCATACCCCTGGATTTTTTGAATCTATATATGGTTCTCCCTTGTGTAAAATGCTGAAATGATTGAAGTCTAGTTCATACATGTCTTCACTCCCGTGCCTTGTACCAAGAGGTGTGAAAACTAAGATTTTTCTCATAGTATGAGATTGAGCATTTTCCAGTGAAAGTTCTTTTGATCCTAGCATTTTCTTTACTTCCTTGGGACAGAATGCCATCTTTAGGGACTTTTTATGTGACGATGCACTTCCCGGTCTTCTTATTTCATGATCAATAGGACAGGCTTTTGAAAGCTCCTCGTATGCTTCGAGCATATTAGTTTCTGCGTTCTTGCAGACGTCCATATCTGCATGATGATCACAACTTTCCAAGACGGGTGGATCACTTGCTTCACCGGTATCTTCTTTCAGTTCATCGCTCTCCTTGTCAATTTGCAAGCTCTTGACATTTCCTCTATCTACAATGTCAGTATAAGTGCCACTGTCCTCGGATTCTTGGTCATCTTCGTCTTCACTATCATCAGGGTTGTTATCTTCTGCTGAATCACTGTCTTTGGATCTTTCAAAATTCAGAAACTGAGTATCATCCGTGCTCATCCAATTCACTAGGCAATGTTCTGTATGAACGTCTTTCGTTAGGAAAATTTCGGTATGATCCTTCACCTCTGAGTCCATTTTTCGTGTTCTGTCCTCATTAGGGTCGATGTCGATAGATTGTGCTACTCTTTGTCTCTTGAGCTTTCTGAAATGCCTTTCGTCTATACTTTGACTACTGGCCTGTGATACAGATATATTAAACACGACATATTCCGTTAGTACTCAGCATTGAGCACATACATATTGAATGTTCATAAAATTTACAGGAAGATTTTCACTTATAGAATTGTTATATTATATGCTTTAAATCTCTGGTGCTGCATATATATACATAGATAATATATCAGGATAAAATTTTACTTCTCAACATAACATAAATGCATTAGTGCTGAAACTCTGAAACAGTAGCTAGTGATTAGTTATGTTATGAGAATCTATCAATTTCAAATTTATTTACTATGCTCAACCATATGCTTCTGCATTTATTTTTTTTGACTTTGGAAGTGAATCATGTTGTTGCATACGCTCCGGGGAGAACTCATGGTTGAACTTTTATATACACACATAACCTATGTTGTTTACTATTCAAAAAATGTTGTCTTATACGTGTCAGATCCTCCAAAAATGCACTACTTTTGGAGGATTAGTCATACACCAGTTGGCATTTTTGAAGAGTTCAAGTACATAGCTTATAAATCATTACTTCACTGCCTAAGCATAAACTTGCTAGCTATTGAAGTTCAAATATCTATTAACTATTGAACTCTGCTACCAGTATCTTTTCAAGTAACTGTCCATTTGAACATTTAAGTCTTTTAGAAGAGCAAAACATCATGAAAAAAGGAACTCCGTAGATATCTGATAATCTCAAGTTAGCTCGATCAGATGAAAATAGACCTCGAGTTCCTAACTCAATCTCTAAAGCTTAGCTCGTGAGATGAGAACTGTCTCCGAGACCATAAAAGGATACAACAACTCATTCCCTTAACCAGTGTGTGGCACACTTACCAATAGTGAAGCAAAAATAGCTAATATACATATAAAAAGTTGAGTTGAGAAATCATACATTTCCATTTGAGAAGTTGATGTCTTTATGTTTTCCTTGTATGTGAGATTCAAGAACTGATATTCTCTTCATTAGCTTCGCGTTTTTCTGTTTTTCCCTTTGCAATTCTGCAGATATCTCAGCAATATTGACATTCCGAGTTTTCTCTTCTTTCAGTTCTTGCTCAACAGTGCAACATGTAGCAGAACCATTCACCATGCTGTTTCTCAACATTCTTGTTTGTGATATTTCACCACAAATCCACAAATAGAAACTAGTTTTATTATTTTTATGTTGGCAAGAGGCAGAGCTAAGGGTCAGGGCGTCGTTGAAAAATTATAATGTATATACAAGATCAAAATTACCATTTGTGTTTGTATATATACATCACATGTTGAATCCCTTTGTTGACTTCTTCGTATATTTACTTCTTTATATTATGAAGGCAACACTAGTCTCTCCCTATAAGTGGAGTCTGGTGAAGGATCAAACCACGTTGAGTTTATTGTATAGTAGATATTGAGCCTGTGTCTTGACTTCTTCGTGTGTTTACTTCTTTATGTTTTGAAGGGAAACACTAAGCTCTCCCTATATAAGTGGAGTCTGGAGACGGATCGAACCACATTGAGTCTCTTGTAGGTAGTCTCCCTGCATTTTTTGCAGGTATTTTTCTCGTACGACTTTCTAGTCAAGTTTAAGACCACAAAATTAAAGTGCATATCTTACGTTCTACGTATCTTCAGTTTAAGACTACAATATTCAAAAATCATTTTTTATTTTTAAAATTTCGTATCGTCAAAATCAAACAAATAAATTTTGAAACGGAAGGTGTAATAAAAATAACTTGTGTGCAACAAACAGAACACTCAATACTTTTACTAAAACAAAATTAAGAACTATATATATGTCTTCAAGATTGATGCATAGGTTAAGGAATCTGTTTACTTCTGTCATTCAATTCTTTGGTTGATTTTTTTTTCTTTTTATGGCACAAAAATTAAAATAATACTTAATAAGATAACAATTTTAAAAAAAGAAAGCTTTGCTGTTAAGTGAGGTTAGTTTCCCAATAATATTAAACATTAGGAGCATCCTAGGCTATAATTTGATGTTTCATATTTTTTTTTTATTTTCAATTCTCTCAAAAATTCTGACTTTATCACTGAACTGGAACTGAAATAGTGATAGAAATCAATGTGCGAGTTCGATCAAACTCATAGTCCTAATATCCAGAATTTACAATATACAAAGCTCAAATCTTTACTCTGCATGCACTTATTTTTCTTGTTCAGTATTCGATTAAGTCTGACTAATTCAGATTTATACGAAGCTTCTTACTAAAAATTTTTCCATATTTAAAATTCAAACTTCCATCGTATTATATTCTTTGATGGTGATCATAAATATTTCATCTCTCCACTCCACATAGTAAACTCCAAGAATCAACATTTATTAAAGACCAATTCTTTTAGGAAAAATTACACAAGTATCTCCTCAACTTATGTCCGAAATTTCAGACATATCTATATTATAATAAGATTCTATTACCCCCTGAACTTATTTTATAAGTAATTTTCTACCTGTTTTCGACCTACGTGGCACTAGTTTAAAAAAAAAGTCAATCAACGTTAAGCTCACAAAATAGTGTCACGCAAATCGAAAAGGAGTGATTTCGAGCATAGATCGAAGAAATACTCAATACATTATCTTTTCTTTTTATATGAATTTTATCTTGGCATATGAGCCCAATGTAGCAATGACAGTCTGTTTTTTCCAAGACAAAAAAAAGGAGAAAGTGCACACGTGCACATGAATATAATATGAATTTTGGAGGTACAACATAGAATATTTTATATTAACCTCACGTGCAACTGACAACTCCAAAAGATTTGTCTCCATTGCAATTTATATCAATATAGGCTTAAAACGGATAATATCATATTAAGCGATTAAATATATATTTAAATTATACTATTTTAGTAATTGATATCAAAGCTAATAATTTAACGAGCATATTGATGGTGATAAAGTGATAGGCATGAGGTTTAGCTTATTGTGTTTGTTACATTATACAAATCAATATTCTAGTATAAGAAAAAGTGTTAAAAGAGCAAAAAGATATAATCACCAAAGAAAACAGAAGATAGACAGTAGCATTCCATAAATTTTTGTAGTATTTTATGTTATTTGGACTCTAAAAATATTGTAATATTATTGAATTCTCTAAAAATGCATTATTTTAAATAAATTATCATCTTCATATTCAGTGTCGTCTCTTGCCTTAGAACTTTTAGGCCATTGCCTTAGACCCCCAATTTTTGTGGCCTCAAATTTCTATAAATATAAATTTATGTTTAATTTTTTCATGAAAAAATAATTATTTATATAAAAAGTATATATATATATATATATATATATATTTTCTAACACTCACATTATTTATTTATTTTAAATCTTTATGCACTCTATTCTATCAAAAATATGAATAAATAACTGAAAATGATATAAATATAATTATTTAATTTACTATCTGGTTATCGGTTAACCCCTTAAGAAATAACTTCAAACCGTTAAAAATCGATAACCTGATTAAAAAAAATCAAAACCGTTATCAAAACCACCAAATCAATAACCCAATACTATAAACCAATAACTCTTTTACCGGTTTGGCTTATCAATTTCAATTCGATTTTGAACCGCCCTATAGTTCAACTTGTAAAAACTTAAACAAATAAACACAGATATCCTATGTTGCATCCTACATGACAATTTACGTTCTATATAGCAATTTGTGTCCTACATGATATCCCATATGTATTATGTCACATACGTTGGACTCGTGTATTTAATTTGTTTAACTTTTAAGGTCAACAAAAATCCCCTCTTTTTTTTCAAGCATAAAGCTATATTCAGATTGTCTTGTTATAATCTCTACGGGAGGTCAACTTCACAACGCGATCCACACAAAATTACGAAGGGGGATCAAATACATTACAAGAAACTCGAAATATACCATTAACTAGCTATACACACATTTTCCACGCGAACTCAACCTACACGAAAAAGGTCTCATGTACTCCAGTGCTTTTTGAAGATAGCTGAAGGATTGAAGAAATATGGAAGTATGTTAAGTTACTGATCCTCTCGTGATAGACATCTCTCCATCGTGCTGGCTGGTGAACGTTCTCTGCTCGTTGCAAGGGTAATTTGCTCTCGATGCACTAGAAAAGCTTTTGTTGTGGTTGTGTTGTTCCACTTCTCATCATAGCACAGAACTCCTCGTAATTGATCCTACCGTCCTGTTCAAATGGAAGAGTTGGTATGAAACTATCCACACTAAAGAGTTTCAACATCGAGCATTTCATATAACACGACTTACATTGTCAGTGTCCACCTCTGCGATTATCTCCTTGATGGTGGCCTCATCACCCATACCATATTCCTTCATAGCGTTTTCCAATTCATCTCGCGTGATGAATCTGAATAACATCAACAACAATAAAAAGTGTACGCGTTACTTGCTCGGAAAAAGGAAAAGAAAAAAGAGGTGAATCTGTAAGAATGTGTGAAATGTTAAGGTTTGATACAGGCCACACCCAACTCATATACTACAGCCATCAAAGTACAACAACAACAACACGCCCAATGTAGTTCCACAAAGTGGGTCCAGGGTAGACCTTACCCCTACCTCAGAGGTAGAGAGGTTGTTTCCGATAGCCCCTGGGCTCAAGAGAAAACTAGTCTAAAGCAGTCCCGAAAAAAGCAACTGAAGTACGAGAAATAGCAGATCGTAACAAAAACAGCAGATAGTGAACAGTAACTACAACAAAATAATATGATAATCAAAGTATAAGAAACAATAGATAGTAACAGAAATCTAAGGACAAGAAACTACAGGGGCAACACCACAACTACTTGTATGGAGGGATAGAGCCTTAAAAGTACAATGCTTCTAAAAGGTTCAAAAAACATAAAAAGATTCCAAAATAGCCGAGCATAGAAACAAAACTCAGAGAGATCAATATGTTACACATACCGTTACAAAGATTTAATTTTTAACTCAGGAGGATGTCTCAGAATCACCTTTAGTCCTTGATTTTATAAACCATAATACTGTTGATTTAAAATGATTCCCCTTGGTTCTTTATACTCCGGAAGGTTTCATGATGGAACTACCTATGCTAAAAACTATGAGGGTCCATCTGATATTCGGGTAAGCGTTAAGTATTGTTGTATTAACTCTCCCAAATTAAATAAATAGGAAGCTACTCCCCTTTAAGCTTATGTTTTTTGGACTTCTCTAAAATGCTGCCACACCCGTACGGATCCAACAAAAATACACTACTTTGGAGAATCTAGCACGCACCTGTCTACATTTATTAAGAGTCCGGCCAACACAACATTAAATAAATGAATTATATCCAACCACTTATGGGCAATCCCACCTATAACTTAGCGTAAATTAAGCAATTAGATGGCTTAGGAGGTTTTACACACAATATCTCAATGGTCTAGCATCAAAAGTTATCACTTGCAAAACATCCGGCTCCTATCAAGCCATTGATTACCCTATTGATGCCATGAATCCATACAACAACAAAAAACAACAACATATCCAATGTAATCCCAAAAGTGGGGTTTGGTTAGGGTAGGATGTATCTTTGTGGTAAGGATATGCCACTATGTCATAATATAAGATATACTATATTTTTCTTTTTGCTTCTGGAAAGAATTATCTTTATTGATCCGCAATGGCATGTGGAATATTTTCTGGACTCACCAAGATTAGGAAGACAAAATTTCATTTAGAAGGTCAGATAAATGGAAGCCATGATCATATTTATGGACTTACCCACTATGGTCCTTGTCAAAATGCTGAAAAGCTTTAAAAAGATGCTCATCCCTTTCTAGCCGATGTCTATGCATCGTTGCAGTAATAAACTCAATGTAATCAATTGATCCATTTCCATCCACATCAGCCTGAAATGTCAAGCCATGTACAGGTCAGAAACTGAAATAAAGCAAAATCCTATCTAGTCAGAGGCATCATACTCAGTCACTTACAGCTTCCATGAGTTGCTTGACTTCAGTCTCCGTTAGCTTTGATCCAAGCCGAGCCAATCCCGACTTCAGTTCTTCATAAGTGATTGTGCCACTATTGTCCGTATCAATGTTGTGAAACATAGCTTTCAGACCCTTGATTTCTTCTTCAGATAAATTTTCCGCAATGACCTAGGGAAATTACAAATGTAACAGAATAAGAGCTTACTTCAAACATCAAATGCCTAATACATACTACATCTTCTAGATAATTCAGTATGGACGGCATCCCACATCATTTTTGCTACTGAAGAACCAACAACAATAGTCAAAGATTCTGAGCAATAGCAGTCTTGAGAAAATACTTAACCACCTGCAGTGCCAAAATAAGAATGCACTATTAGATTCTACCTTCAATGCGAGTTTTTTGAGCTTGTTCATTGCTCTGAACTGCTTCATTCTGGACAGGACTGCACTGTCTATTGGCTTATCTGATGCTTCTCCAAGTCGAAGCCATGGATGTTCTGCAGAAACAAGCACCATGAATGCTAAGTATCAAACTAGCAAGAAGAACTTAAACCCAGCATATAGAGTATTTAACACAAGCCGCCTCTTGCTTGCAGTCAAAGACCTAAGAAATCTAGGAAGTAAATTGGACAGAGAGAAGGGGGTTCTACACTAAATCCAGAACCCTAGCCACTCCAGATACTGCTCTTTCCCAGATTTACTTTCAACCTGGAGACTGTTTCAACTCAAAGGGCTCAATCAAACCAAAGTTGGGATTGGCTATATGAATCATCTATGACTATTCCACAATATTTTATCTAAGTTCGTCCCATTTCTACTTTCTTTGAATAATTTGTTTTTAAGGCAAATTAGGAACTCTCTAAAACTAGAGGTTCTCCAAATCACAATTTATCTCTACATTGGCAAACAAATCTCTAAGTAGACTAGAAAAGCTCCTATATAACGCCATACCTAATGCAAGTGTAACCACTGATAAAATCTTAAGATGCAACCAGGGCAGATATAGAGGGGCACGAGAATATTTACCTGAACCCCCTAGGCAAAAATTATACTGTCTATATAATGCAAGGTAATTTTTTTTTATTTTTTTTATTAATCTATATATTTTTTGAGTCCCCTGAACACAAGAGCAGATGTTGGCTCAATTGTTTAGGGGTTTCAAATTCATCTTCAGGTTCTAAGTTCATATCCCAAGCCCTACATTGTTATTTTTCGAACCTCTTAGTGAAATCCTGGATTCGCCACATGATGCAACAAATAGATAAGCCTAGTCGCCAATAAGGATCTTCACTTCTATTTGTGTTCTGTTCTTAGCTAAATTTGAATCAAGTCTGAAATATTGTAGATTTTTTAGATAACTGTCCTTCATTTGATTAGAGTCTTACCTCATCCTCTTTTAGTGTTTTAAGCATTATACTATTAAATCTATAGGACAATGCATGTGGAGGTCTACGTATATGGCCAGATCATCTCACACGACCTTGACTCATTTCCCTCAGTATGCTTACTTGCACCCTTAGATAGACTATGATCGTTTCTAATTTTGTCCAAAATTGTATGACCGCACATGTATCTCCATTCATGTTGTAGACATAATACGTCTTAGAGGCCTAATGTACACTCTCACATAAAATTATATGTCACACCACTATTCTATAAAACTTGTATATCACTTTGGTAAGAATCTTCAAGCCCATAACTCTCATCCATTTCAGTCATCTTATTAATTCAATGTGTGAAACATTCATTAATCAGATCATTCGTGCGGACAATTGCCATCACCAAATCACAGTGTGTTAGTGAAGTAAAGATCCATAATCTATCCAAAGCAACACCAAGATAAAAGCCATACACTATGGGAAAATGATAACGTATTGGCTATGCTGTAATCAAGCCAATGATTTCATTAAGGTCTGTTTCTGACAAAGCCATGGAAAAGCAATGCAGCTTATACTTGGAAGATCTACTAAATGCATGCAAAACCTAAACATGACTACACCCTATTTCATAGAACCAAGTAAAGACATGACACGCTGCTGTAACTTTTGATTACAGAAAGGGAAAGAGAAAAGTACCAAGAACTTGCGCGGAAGTAATTCTCTTCCTTGGCTCCTGCGTTAGCATTTTCCGAATAAGGTCCTTGGCACTATTTGATATTGATGGCCATGGATCACTTTGGAAGTCAATTTCTCCTTTTAGTATGGTATTAAATATTCCCTTTTCAGTTTCTGCAAAGAATTCGGGAAGACACGTTAACGGAACAGAACATAGTGAGTAACACGGAGTAAACCATCTTATTAAACTTTTTTCTATTGCCATCCTTACCAGCCCAAAATGGAGGTACACCACTGAGCAGAATATACAAAATAACACCTGCACTCCATACATCTGCTTCCTTCCCATAACTACGCCGCAACACTTCAGGGGCAACATAATATGCACTACCAACTATATCACGGTACACCTTCCCTGACATTTATAAATGAAACATAAGTTCATCTATTCTAGATTCTAAACAGAAGAGTGGAGGAAACAAAAGACAATTGAAGTCAACTACTGAAATGATCCATGCTGGAATACTCAAATAGCGGCAACACAAACATAAAAGCATAAAAGGTATGTTATATTAAATCAGATGAAGGTCTAAGTAGTCTGTGAATTCAGCTAAAGTCAAAGAACCCAAGAAACTCAGATCACAAGTCAAGGGGATGTACTTATACATATATCCCAAAAAAAAAGAGTGTAAAATAATAATTACAAATAACAAGGCAAAAGAAAAAGCAAAAGAAACTGAGATTGTCCTCTAGAGTAAGTTGGGATGGATCCACTAATATTCTAACTTCAAACTTATGCATCACTTACAATCTTTTAGGATGCCAGTACCGCTGATCTAGGATATTCTACAAAGATCCAAGTGGATTTTGTCTGGTTGACAACATGCTATCTTGGACAAAGAATTTATTAAGTCCGCTCTTTAAGTCTTAATTGTTACTTTATTAAATCGAATTAAAAATTTTATTAGCTCCTTGTAGGAACAAATGAGTGATTAGCTCAAGTATCAGCAGAATTTTTTAAATCCAGTTAAATGGGGAAGTAACAAAAAAAAAAGAGGGACAAGTTTTTTTATGATGGTGCTGTCCAGGCTGGCTTGCATACACCTTGACTATACAAACAGGTAACTTAGCCAACCAAGGCCTATGCAAATAGGAAGAATCACCTAATTGATTTTTTTGCCTTCACCCTGAGATCTCATAGTTCTTCTCTCACTTCATTGACCACTAGGCTACACCCTTGGGTAAAACGAGGGGAGAGGAGAGTTATAAAAGTTAAAATCTTATACAAACTTTTGTTGTTTCTGTAGTGATTTTATGAGTCTGTACTTTGGGAGGTTATATCTGGTTTTTGGCTCTAATCAATAAATATATTCCTACACTTCAGATGTTCTAGGTCAAGCGCAGCCACCATTTTCTCTTTCATGCATATATGGGTCATGACTCGTGCCTGACTCAGCCAAGGATATCTTAAGGGATAGAGAACTCAAATACACCCTCTCTTTTTTTGATTAGGTAATAATTCTATTGATTTGAGATAACTCTCTTGTATACAAGCAATATACGAGAAAGTAAACAACCTACACGAAAATATGGTTCTAGAAAAGACATGCAAGCATCTCTACAAATGGGGAACTCGGGGTACACCAAAATAAACCAAAAAGGAGGATATTTTCAAATACTGGTCCCTTTTGTCTAGCACAAATCATTGCTACGCGGTTTATTTGGAACTCTCCGGGAGGATAAACTCAGTCACAATATACGTAATCTGGAACAATTTTTAAAATTAGTTGTGGATCATGGACATATATATTTACAAAGATGTTTAATGCCACTGATTTCAATAAACTACTTCTCGATTAGCTAGCATGCAACTTTAACACTTAATAAATGAGTACAATTTTTATTCCAAAACTTGCAGTTTTCTTGGAGACACTTAAACTCTTCCAAGGTACTCTAGAGTCTAGACTGGAAGAAAAGAATTCTTGACATATTCACCGAACAAGTGCTCTATGCTAACACTTTTGCCAATCTTGTAACAGACACATTGCTTTACCAGGAAAGAGATAGTTCAGTGATGAGAGATGCTCCTACAGAAATTCACACCCTCAGTTAAAGAGTCTTACTCAATCACCTTCACAACCCACAGGCCACTGACGGCAGCGAACAGTAGCAAGATGAAATTTGGGTTCAGGAAACTAGATTGGATCATTATTATAGCATGAAAAATCCTCTTCGATTATCAGAACTACGACGGCGAACTGCATTACAGAACATAGAAAATACAGATCTGCGAGATCTTTTGAAATCTTAGTAGCTGCAAGACCTGCCAAGTTCCCACTTGATCCTGCAAGTCTAAAATCAATACTTTTTGCATTCATGGTAATCATTGATTGCTTGTTTGATTGGTAGGATTGAAACAAATCTTATTCTAGCTAACACAAGAATACACTTCTACAAAGGTTTGTGCATCTTTACATTTTACCCCAATCAAATCTCTTCTTTTCAAAAATTTGTCAAATAGATACTACTAATGCGTCTTAGCACTAAAAATGTTCTCATGCATTGCCAGACACATCCCAAGTTGCTTGAACTCTTCACTTTCGGGGACATACCCATTTCGACACGACGAGGATGTGGGTGAGGGTGTGGGATCTGTACCGGATATGGTCAATCGATTTTGGGTACTTTGACCAAAATTGACATAGAAATTTGGGACAGATCTAATGATTCTGTAATTAAAACAAAAGCTAAGGTGAAATTGAAGATATATATATAACTTGTCTACAGAAATTTCTGTGTCAGTCCTTTTTGTTATACTTCTTCTACGATTCTCCTAATTTAGAGATATAACTCTATTTTTAGATATACGAATTAATTTTTAGCCGAATCGCCGCGCTCATATCCGTATCTGGATCCATACCCCCGTATCTTAAAATTCAAATCATGAAGGATCACCTCTAGATCAACACCCATATCGGACACCTGAGTCCGAGAAACTTTGGACACATCCAAGCAAGAAAAGTCATGTAAGTATTTAAAAAATAACATAATATTGACAACGCAACAATTTCTTCTTGAAAACTCAGCTGTAATGTTATTAATCTAGAGGAGCAAGAAACTTACCTTCTTCAATGAAGACAGAAAGTCCAAAATCAGTTGCCTTCAACATAGCATTTTCATCCTTACTAGTCAGTAAGAAATTCTCTGGCTTGAGATCCCTATGCATGACACCCATGAAATGGCAAATGTTAACAACATTTACAATCTGTCTAATAATCTCAGCAGCATCCTTCTCTGAGTAATATCCACGGGCGATAATCCTGTCAAACAACTCTCCTCCAGCACAAAGTTCCATCACAAGGTGTACTGACTGCCTATCTTCATAAGCACCCTTGAATTCCACAATGTTTGGCTGCCCACTCAAATGCTGCATAATCTGAATTTCCCTCTTCATATCCTCCCTATCATTCTTGCTTACAAGCTTCCTCTTAAGTATGGACTTGCAAGCATAAGGGTTCCCAGTTGAGTTCTCAGTACAATAGTAAGTCACTCCAAACTGACCCCTACCCAATTCTTTCCCAAGTGTATAGAGCTTTCTAATTTCCTCAAAAGGCTTTCCCAATATGTTATTCATATGGGGTCCTTGCATTTGGTCTTGGGGCTGTCCAGACTGCACAGTAACAGGAACAGGGTGGGGCTGAGGTTGTGGCTTTGGCTGTGGCGGTGGCTGATATGCTGGCTGTGGCGGTGGCTGATATGGCCTTTCCTGCTGGGGCTGAGGCTGATATGGCCTTTCTGGCTGGGGTTGTGGTGGTTTTTGATATGCTTGATTAACTCTTCTTCCTGCCCTATGCCCATTAGCATCTTGTTGGGTATACTTCTTGCTAAAACAACCACCCATTTCTACAGTCTATTCAACAAGATTGAACTTTGGATACTTCAATTCCTCAACAAGTTACAAAAAAAACAACAACCTGGGGTTTAACATAACAAAGATAGCAACTTTAACAAGATTGAACTTCAACAAGTCACAATAAAACAACAACTTGAGGTTTAAAGACCAAAAGATTGCAACTTTAACAAGATTAAATTTTGGGTTCTTCAATCCTCAACAAGTAAACCAGAAATCAAGAACTTGACGTTTAAAAACCAAAAGATCGCAACTTTAACAAGATTGAATTTTGGGGGTTTTCAATTCCTCAACAAATTACCATAAATCAACAACTTGGGATTTTTAGCAGGGTAAAAGATTGCAACTTTGACAGAGATTTAAAGTAATTAAGCTCAATTTAGTACCTAAAAGATATTCCACAGATCAGAAAATGCCAACGTTTTGAACCCTCTTCATTGACTTCATGGGAAAAAACTCCATGAAAATGCTACACACTTTCTTTGCCAGCTTTTGCCCTTGTTATTTTTCTAGGCTTTTTCCCCACTTGCAAAAATAAAGCGGTGTTCTTGTGGAAAGTAGGTCATTTAATTGGTAGTTTAGTCTCTTTTTTTAGCAATTTATTTGTATTCGCTATAACCAAAACGACTAAAATTCCAATTGAAAAGTGGAGTTATGAAAACGAGTGAAATAAGTAAGGATGAAACAACAACATTGAAGAAATGTACCACTTTTAAATCTTAGTATCTAGGATTATGTTATTAACTTTTTCTTTTTCGTTTTGATTCCGCTATAATCAATTTTTTAACTGTGATTTCTTGCAACTTCAGTGTAGTCAACCTTTTCATTGGCACATATGTGCACCTCTTCTTCCCGTATTTGAACTATCTACATTTCATTTTCCTTTTTTTTTTTGTTCATCACTCTAATCTGGATATAATTGCTAGGTTTTTTGTTGTGTGTCTCTTTACGAATGAATAAGATTGTACAATTTTATTATCAAGCATTACGTTGTACCAGAGCAATTTTATTTTGGTAAGTCCTAGCGGTATTAAGATAAGCCAAAAGTTTTATTAACAAAGTCTTGATTGACACAATAATAAAGTCGTGGTGTAATTTTTACAAAATATACTAGCATATTCGTAAGATTTGATGGAATATTCATGAAAGACATTCTAGTTAAAGAGCAAAAAAAAGCACAAACACCAAATAGGTGTTTTTGTTAGCTAGGCCTCTAATAAAAAGGGATACAAGTGTTGTGACCTAAATACTAGGAAGGTTATTGTCACAATGAATATCACATAATTTGATAGGGATAGGCATTCGATATTTCGGTTCAATTTTGATTTTTTGATTTTCGATTCTTGTAAATTGTAAACCAAAATTTTGGTTTGATTCGATTTTTTTATTTCAATTTTTAATGGGTCGCCAGTTGAAGATGAAGCCGCTGCAGGCGGCGGCTGCTCCTAGCGACGAGGGCTGCTGCTCATGGCGCCTGGCGAGCAGCTACTGCTGCCTGAAAGAGGAAGAGGAAGAAGAGGAAAGAGGAAGAGGAAGAAGAGAAATAAGGTTTCACATACTTTTTTCTTTTTTTAAAAGATTATTTAATATTAATAATTATTAATTAATATAATATAAATTATAGTATAATATTTCGGTTTAAATCAAAATAATACGTACGGAAAATCGAATCGAAATACTAAAAAATACAAAAAAGTAAACTGAATACCAAATCGAAAATCGATATATCGAAATCGAAATTCTGAAAAAATTTGATTCGATTCGATGTTTTGATTTTTCGGTGTTTATGTCCACCCCTATATTTTGGAACTCTTCTCGAAGGAGAAACATAGTGACGATTCGATGAATGATAAGAACTCTAGCGATCTCCCATTCGAGAAGCAAAAAGATTAACGTTTTATGATAAATAAGAAAAATAGTACTTTTGATAATAACACTACATAAGGTAAGAGATCTTATCTTAAATAATGAAAATAAGTAAATCGAGATAATAAAATCTTTTCATGATATAATCAATGATAAAAACAGGAACAAATAAGAAAAAAATAAGGAAATTGCATATTTACATGAGAAAAAATTGTAATCAAGAAAAAAAATTAAGGACTCTCAGTATAACTAAATGTCTGTTCTGTAAGATCTCACTGACATACAAAATAATTCTTCATAACCTAATTCTAATTTACGTCTTGTTACTTTAGACATTGACCTTTTAATTGTCAAATGTACAAGGTAAGAAAAGGCATTAATTATCTCTTGCTAAATTTTGTGTTATATAAAAACTTGTCCCTTTTTTATATAGTTTTTCTTTCTCAATTTTCTGATATGGAGATATCGAGAAATGTCAGGATGCTTTGACATTTCTAAGTGAAAAAAATCAATTCTAGCATAAATAAAAGTAAAACCTGAAAAATGACAGAACTATCACGTGGAAAGGAAATAGTGGATTGTAGAGGATATCCATCTTCAAATTTAAATCAGATGACTCCTTAGAGAAGTATAAGGTACATCTCATACCAAAATTTACCGTTTGTCTAATCATTACTTTATAGAACTTACCTTCAAGCATTTCCAACATTCCTATCACAAAATATTTAAACGATCAAGCTATATTTCACCTACACCACTCCAATATAATGAACGACATCATTATCAATTAAACCCTATTTTCTTGAATTAATATCCTAACTAGTACTTGGAACTCTCTCTTTTGGATATAACTTTATGCATCAAGTTTCATTTCCACCAAGCTAAGGCCTGACCCATAGTGAAATCTCATCACAACTTTGGAAGTGTTTTAAGTCATCTATCACTGGTTAAATTATGATCTTGGCTCCATCATACATATCTTTAATTGTCATATTGTAGGTTATATGTGTTGAGTTTTATTTGCCCTAAATTTCTTACCGTAAATAGGTTTTCCTTTTAGGAAAAAGTTTTTGATTGACTACTCCTTTTCTTGTAGGAAAAGGTTTAGGACTCTATAAATAGAGGAATGTTCCTTCTAACTTAATCAGCATTCACAATGTAGTCTTAATGACTTTGAAAGTTTTGATTAGGGGGAGAATTTGTGGGTCACAAGTTTGTTACGTCATCACTTGTGTGAATCTCCCATGTATTCCGAGTGAATTGGTTGAGGTTGTATCCCTCTGTATTTTGTACTCTCATATTTATAGTCGATTGCTCATCTCCTTTGTCGACGTAGGTCGATTGACCGAACCCCGTTAAATCTTTGTGTCTTTTGGTATATTTCTCGTTGTCTTCTTACTCGTGGTCTTTCGAGGTTCGTTTTACTAGCTTTCGCATTTACACCTGCTTATATTTCGATTCTAACAAGTGGTATCAGAGCCAGATTCAATGATGGAGTCAAGTTTAGTGATTCGATAAACGATGATTGAACCAGGTTAGAAGGAGGTGATCATCTTGACAGGTGTAGTTCTAGCCGCAACCTTTTTAACAATAATGAAAATTTTTGTTGGAGAAATTATTTCAGAGAGCTTCTCTATGTTGAGACATAAATCCATCGAGTATGCAATCACGATACCAAGACTTTTTATGATATATAATTTTATTTTATGTGATAATATTTGATTAAATATTAAAAAATTAAAATTTATGATCTAAAATATTATCAAAGATAAAGCGATTATATAAACATTAAATTTCTTTTTAAACATAGAAAATGCTAAAAGAATTAAGTAAACAAAAAAAAAAAGTATATCGTTTAAGTTATGCACACCAACTCATTAAGGATGTAAAACTTGACTTTGTCTCTTGACAAAGCACTAGGGATAAGTATTTTATTAAACAAAAAATATTAAAATGTTTGGTTTGGAATTTATCGATATGGTACAGACCTGATTAGCTAGCTAATCATTTAAGCTATCATACTTTATCTAAATATTTATACAATATGATGTGACATTAATATGAAGTGTTTTTTGATAATGAAAGAGAAAAAATATATATTCGTACTTAGTATTTATATTAGATTGTTTTTTTATATTCAAATTTTAAAATTAAGACGTTTTTACTAAAAAAAATTGAGATAACTCAAAACTCAATTTTTTAATGAATTGTTCTTAGAAACGGTAAACTGCACCAGAAAGGATTTCGGGTGGGGGAGCGTCTACCTCCTCTCCCAAGCCTGATAAATGGTAAATGACGCTAGATCTATCGGATAATCAAGTGATGAGAGAGATCTACCAATCAATTCCTTTATTTCAGTGTGTTGTACCCTCTAAAGGGGTGCGTAATGTTCAGCAGTAGGACAAAACACTAGCAAGGAGCTTCCCTTGGGACTGTTTTCCCAGGCAATTTTCCTTTTTTGCGCGATAAGTATTACTCCCTCCGTTTGGTATTGTTTGTCATGATTTCTATTTTTAGAGTCAAACTATAAAACTTTGACTAACATTTTAAGATGAATTTTCTCATCATATTAATATGCAAAAAATTGTAACCTATAGTACTTTTTATATAGTTTTAGAATATCTAATTTTTTTGTTTAAAATATCGAGTTAATGTGATTTAATTTACCTTTGAAAATTAATTGAATTAACTTTTGATAAGTGTAAAATGATAAATAATTCCGAACGGAGAGGAGTGTGATTTAAAGAATTTTGTTTAACTTTTGTGCACTAACATTTACAATATTATTGTATACTACTACAATATTATTATATACCACTAGGTTAACAATATAATTTTATATGAAATTTTTGACACATTTAATTATTAAAATGTCAAAAAGGTGTTACTACTCAAATTAAGTTTATAGCAAGATATAGAGCACATGGTTAGATATTCAAATATAATTTTACAAGATTTAACTTTATTCAAAAATTAATAAATAATGATGACACTGTATGACTTTTTAATATGTTAGAATAATAATTAATAATGACACATAAATTATCTAAAACAATTTACAAAAATAAATAAATCTGAACTAATGTCTATTGGAATGGGGACTATTCAAATATCGACCAATTCAAAAACGTTCAAATAATAGTCAAACTAAATTTATACAACAAATTTGTCAATTTCTTTACAACATCATCAATAGAAAAAAAAAAAAAAAAAGAGACAAGGACAAGGAAGGAGCAAAAAGTTCCCTCACCATCAACTCTTTCCTATTCGGAGATCGATCTAGAACGGGTAAATAAGACTCAATTTATAAATATATATATACAAAATATATTATACTATTGCTACATATAATAAGTTCATTTTAAATACGTAAGCTGATTATAAAATATTTTGACTTCGTCTCTGATGCTAATTAACTTCAGGAATGCTTTGAAGACGAGGCTTCCATGATTGTTGACGTCGAATATTTTCAAAATCAAAGCTATTATTGCTAGAATTTATAAATCCAGACAGTAATTGCTCCATTGTAACTTCCTCCATATTGTCAATTTTTCCAGCTAGAATTTGTTCGAGCTCGTTTTTCGTAATTCGTATTTTCACCTCTTTGTAATTAATCGTCGAAGAAGAAATAGACGATGATAATGATGACGGTGAGGAGGAGGAA